GCAGGATGATTAGGTTTCACAAAGTTCAAATATCAATATTTTTCTTACCAATTTCATAAAACAACTAGATTCTTTAAGTCAGCAAATGCTCCCTGCAATAGTGGTCACACTGATTTTTCTGAGAAGGAGCATGCTTGGGAAAATGGTCTTTTAAGCTCCTTGGCTGCACCAGACAGAGTTCACACATTTATTTAATGCAGCCAAACATCCATGGGGGTGCATTTTTGGTGGAATATTTCCCAGAATTGCTGCCTTTTGTTGCTGCCCAAATTTTAACAGCTCAAATTTACTGGGGTAGTACATTTGTTCCATCACAGCTATAAGCAAAGTAACAGTTTGGTTTCTAATATAGTATGCTGAACCTTGGAGCTAGTCATATCAGCTACTTCAGTTTACAAGGTCTCTGAATCTTGCATTTAATGCAAGATGCTTTATTAGTTCCTGCCCCACATTAAATATATGCAACAGAACTGCTATTGGTACCAGGAGAAAGAAACATTCAGAACTTGCGAGTGACTACATACTAAGGAAGCTTGCATTTGAAGTTTGTCTTCTTTCCCATGATAACACGCTTTCACATGGAAACATCATTTATAGATCTGCACACATCTGCAAAGCCTTAAGTGCCTGTCCTTCTTTCTAAGCAAAGAAATGGGATGGTGCCTTGAGGTAAAAGCCACCAAACTTTACAGCAGGCACACAAAACCTAAGAATGGCAACTGCCACAGCTGACAGTTCATCCAAAGAAGACAACAAAGTACTCTCTACTAGTGGTACATGAGTACAGAAAGAGATGCATCAAAACTAATGAGAGCTTTTAGAACTGCTAGAAAAGAAAAAAAAAAAAAACACTGGTCACCTTTGCAAAATAAGTGTACCAATTTACACCATAGACCAAATATCCTGCAAGGGAAAAAAAAAGTAATATCTAAAGAACAGCAGCTACTTATTTAAAGCCCCAGTGAAAAATAGGTCTAATAACAGAACTGCCTTAGTAATTTATTAGAAAAATAATCATGAAAGGAATATTATTTCAGTGGCCTCAGAGTGCAAAGGGAAAAAGCTTAATGCCTGAAGTAGCTCAAGAAGCACCTAGTGATAAATTTATCATACATTACTATTTTCCTAGTCACAGGAACTGGATTAAATGAAAAGCAACTAACATAAGGTCAGGCTAGGACACTGAACTTCCAGAAATAAGAAACACTGAAGCATTTTCACCATGCTGCACTCCATCAGAGCTGGCAGGTCAGGGGGACTTGAGCTTCTAAGTCACTTAGGCTCCTAGGGCACCCTACATGCTCCAGGGTGGCAGGGAGGGGGGACTGCTTTAATTAAAAGCAGCTCTGAAAGCTGCTCTAATTAAAGCGCCTGCAACATTATGTGTATTCAGCATCCCACGCTTCAAAGAGATCTTTAAAGTGCTACCACCGTCATTTTGAAGCATGGGGATGCTGAATACATGACACCAAGGCTGCTAAAGCATACTACATAGCATGCTCCAGACTCGATTAATTAAGACTTCTCTGACTCATGCCAATTAGCATGCATCGGAACAGACATCCAGCACATGTATAGGTGCCCCTAGATATGGATTTAGTGTTTGTAAAATTGGGGGGGGGCACGGAGAAAAAACAAAAACACCAAGAAAAAACCCCAGCCCATTTTATAAAAATAGTTTACAATTTGTCCTCATTGTTAACTGTAAAGCAACTTTGTTTAAATGAGAGAGATCAGTTTAATAAAAACAATAACATACAATTTTGACCCTTTACCCTGAGACCACTTAGCCACATGCTTATCTTTAAGCATTAGCTCCTTATCGATTCACATGAATAAAGTTACGTATCCCACCTGCATCACACATCCCCCGACTTTACCTATGGCAAGGGTGCTCTTGGGGCACTGTGCATAGTAGTTGTGCGGGAAGGTTAAGTTAGACAAGCACTTACTGCCTGGTTTAGATTGGGATGATCCTGCCTTGGAGAGAGGGGTTGGACTATATCAGTGTCTCTCAGCCCCAGAGGTCACAACCCAAAAGTGTCACAAGAATATTTGAAAGGGTTGCAAACAGTCACAAAAAATATGCTCCAGCCTACAAGGAGCTGCCTGGGGCGATTGGAGGCAGCAGGTGCCACGTGCACCTGAGGGCACACATGCACATGGCTGGCATCCAGCCAGGCAGGGTGGTGGGAGCAGCCCCAGCAACTGGATGCAGTAAGTCTATGGGGAGTGAGAGTTAGGGCCAGGGCTTGGGGACTGGGAGATTTGGGGGGGGGGGGCAAAAGGTGCAGGGGCTGGAGGCACCTGCCCCTCCAGCAGAAGGGGCCAGGGGGGGCCTTCGAGGGTGGCAAGGAGCTGCATGGTGGTGCCACGGCTGATGTCTGTGCTCAAAGGGGCACAGCAGCTAGAAGATGCTGCCTGGGGGAGGGTGCAGGGCAGGAGGGGTTGTGTCCTCAAATTCTGGGAAGGGTGGAATGACAACTGGAAAGAAAAATTAAAAAAAAACAACAACTGTGTAGTCTGCATCTGAAAGAAAGAAATACCTTAGCTACTCTGCAGTGCCCTAGTGTCTGCATATGTACAGAATATAATCCTTTTATTCCTTCATTTTCACAGCTGCTTTAAGACTGCTGATACCATTCACAACTATTTTAACTGATTTAGGGGGACCTTGGTCTGCTGTGAAAGTAATGGTCTCTCCAGAAACTAGTGTTCTCTGGTCCCAAGAAGACACCTTATATTGACCCACAAAGACTGAACCAAAGTTCATATTCAGCTTGCACCTGAACCAGCTACAAGAGGACAGCGTGGCAGAAGCAGAGGTTTTTAGCCTAAAACCCAGTTTCATGTGATGCCAGATGTGCACAAGAGGTGAACTGGACAAAACAAAAGCCCTGTCTGGAAGAGGTTACACTTCAAAAGATACTTTTGGTTACAGCAAGAAGTCAAACAAAAGCTGCCAAAATGCACAAAATAAAGAGTGAGCTGAAGGAGTGTTCTTTTTAAAGACAAAAAGGAAGAGTTGCAGGTGGAAAATTGTCATAGTGCAAGTTAAAGATCATTCCAAACATGCTGGGTGGCATTTCACAAGTCATTAAGTCAGGAATGGGCAACAGCATCAGTTAGACAAAAAGCCAGACTTGAACAGAAAAAAGCATATAAGAAGTTTATTTAAAAACCACCTCCCACCTTGGTTTAAAATTTGCGAGCACACCAACAATTTCCAAAATTCGTTAAACGTCGTATACGCAGACCAACGGATCGTTCATAAAAGTGTTGCGGCAGCCACAAAGGTTAGCTTTTGCTGAAAGAAATATGCAAGGTATCCAGATGAAACTGGCTATAAGTTTATAAAGGAAAATTTTAAGAACAGCTCCAGGCTCTCAAGAAGCTACAGTAAGGCTGCACTTAGGATATTGCAAGTTCATTACCAGTCTTTCATTAACTAGGTTGTTAAAGAGAAATTAACCTGCCATTTCAGTTCTCCAGAGCTTGCCTCAACGACTCATGTGCATCATACAATTTGTAACAAGGCTTTCAAATGAAGCAGAACAATCTGTACAGGATAATAAGATTCAAGCTGGAGGTACCCAAACCCAGAATTTTGTAAAACATTAAAATAATGCATTCCTTTTGCTAGATACTTCTCTTTGTTGATGGAGTTCTCAGGCCGGCTATTGCACATTGTATCACTGAAGAGAGACTCTCTCAAAAGACCTCTTTAAAAGATACCCCATACGGGATCTTGGTGGCCACGTGAAATTCTCAAAAACTTACAGCCATGCGTAGCAAGCACAAGAACAAACTAAAGAAAGGTTGCACGCTTTTAACTGCCACTGAAGGGACATTCTTCATTCCACCACACACTGACTTACCATCGTTGGATGAAAATGGCAAGAGAAGAGTGCTTTTATTGAGACAGCTTACACGTGAACAAAGTGACACCTGCTTAAATCTGAGAAGTAAGAAGTGGTGGCGTTTACCTGCTTTAGGCAAACAGAAAGAAAAATTAAAGCCTAGCAGATGAATTGCACCCACATTTTCACTGTGGTCTCCCATTCTGACATGAAGAAATCAGCCAAACGGACATCATGAAGACGCCGAGATCCAACTCACCAGCGCCCGTTTGGTCGGGTTTATCAAGAGCTGCCCCGTCCGCTTGTGAGGTTGAACACTAACTACAACCCCTGGCCTCAAGTACACACCTGCGATACCATCTCGGCAGACAAATAAAGGCAATGTTCATTAAACAGCATTAACCATTACTCCTGCATACCGAGCTACCCGGGCGCAGCACCGCTCGTGCCCCTGGTTACCATCTAGCTCGCTCAAGCGTCCCCTACGCTAATGCCTTTGGGGAAGAAAGAGGGTGACCTAGGTCGTAGCTTTAGAGATCTAATAACGAGCAAATGAGCAGGGCGGCAATGCACTTTAGCAAAACCATTCCAGTTTATTGGCCTTTAATAGTCCTGTCAGCCTGATAAAGGCAGCCGGCCCCGCACCAGCCCTGCTCCCACGTCTCAACCAGGAACTGGGGACCGGCGGGCTAGGGAAGCCAAGCGCCCGGCAATGCAGGGGCGCCGCGAGCCCCACCTTCCCCGCGGGCTGCAGCCCCCGCCTCGTGCCAGGGCAAGAGGCAGCGCGGCGCCGC